GATCTCCTGACCTCGTGATCCGCCCGTCTCATGTTTTCCTTTAATAAGTCTTTTCTTCTTTCTTACCTATCGCAACTTGACCTATTTTTCAAGCCCTTTTTCAGAGAGCTTTCTGTACTAAGCCAGTCTTCAATGATTTCTCCTGTCTCAGTAATTCTATAATACTTGTCATAAAATCTAGCATTTGTAGCCTCTCTCCTCCCAACATCTTGCAAATCCATTAAAATATTTGTCCAAACATTTATTAGCTCTGCCTTGTTTTATGTTAAGCTGGACTAAAACTCAAGGGCAGAAATTACGATTTTGTCTCTTCAGTAGGGCCTTGCAGAAAATAGCAACTACTGTATTTTTAGCTCTTATTATGTGCCATATATTGTATTAAGTACTGCACATACTTTATCTCATTTAATCGTCACAATAATGTTATGTTATTGATATTATTATTCCTACTTTACAGAAGAAGAAACAAAGGCATGAAGAGGTTAGGCTATAGTTGCATATCCTGGAAAAGACAGCTGGGATTTGAGGTAAATTGTCTTCTGAAGCTGGCACAAAGTGGACTGCAAACAAATTATTTGTTGAATTATCCAATCGTTTCATGTGTGCTGATGGTCTTGTCATGCCAAATAAACTAATGAAAGCAGAAACTATGCCCATAGGCTTCTGGGTGAATTGGGGAAAGGAACTGCCCTTCTTTGCTGAATACTCATCAGGTGCTATGTTCAGTGCCAGGTTATTTCATGCTCAACATCTCGTTTACTCTGTGAAGACTCATAACTGTAAATTCTCTTCAACAAACAGCTGCTGTAGTTCCTCCATCAGAGATTTACCCAAAATGTCACCCACTACCCACTCTTAATGGAGCAAAATGCTCCCACATGTGATGTACACCCCTTCTGGGCCTCCCAGTTCAAAGAGGACAAAGCCCCTTCAACTTTAAATCAGCCAGCATGATTTAAAACCTCCGCTTAAAAACCCATTTACCACGAGTCTGACCTTACTCCGGACAGGGACTCTGTTCTTCGTTCTAACGCTCATGATCCCATTTATTAAGCACTATAACCTTGTGCGGTAGGTGACATTTTCCTCACTTCACAGTTACATAAAATAACGTCCATATAAACGACATTGTTGATCCGAAGTCACATGGCCAATGGCAGATTCAGGACTAGAATCCAGGTCTCCTGACTGTCAACCCTATTCCACTCCCCCAGCAGACACTATAGGTGGTATCCAATTTATCCTGATCTCGCTGGGTTAGGGTTAGAGTTAGAGTTATAACAAAAGCTCTGGAATCATTTTTATTCAAAAAATATTTACTGGATACCTATATGTCGACCTTGTACTTACTCGCTATGTGACATGGAAAAAGTCGTTTCACCTTCCTAAGCCCCTATTCCCTTCTCCATAAAACGAGATCACAGTATCTACCAAACAGTAACGTCGTGAGCAGTTAATGAGACGATGATAAGGGAAACCTCTGGCACTGTGTCTGGCATGCGGCGGGCGCTTAGTAAGTATGGGCTCCCTTTACCTACTCCCTCCGCCCCTACAAGCCTCGGGGTTCACCCTTTAAGACCTTTGCCACAGGGTGTCCACGCGGCCTCCGGGGTTCCCAGGCGCCCGGGCCAGCCGCACTGCCATACCTGCATGGAGTCAGCGCTGACGATCTCACCGCCGAGCCGTTGGCCTAGCTGCAACGCCAGCGTGGATTTGCCGGTGCCTGTGGCCCCGAGAATCACTACAAGAGGTAGGGTCCGTTGCAGGCCCCGGAGCCCACGGCCCACAGGAACTGCTCGTGCAGCCGCCACGGACGACATCTTGTGGCAGTCTGCGCTTGCGCCGGAGCAGCTGTCCCCATAGCAACCGTCTGTGCGCCTGCGCGGATCTCAGGCTTTGTAGCTAGGTTGCTTAGGGAGGAGGGAGCGGCAGGACCCAGGCGACATGACTGCAGTCAACTAGCTGGTGTCAGAACCTCAACTACCTGCCGTCTTTTTTGTTGTTGTTGTTTGTTCTTTTTTGGAGACAGGGTCTCCCTCTGTCACCCAGGCTGGAGTGCAGTGGCGCGATCTCGGCTCACTGCAACCTCCGCCTTCTGGGTTCAAGCGATTCTCCTGCCTCAGCCTCCCGAGTAGCTGGGACTACAGGCGCCCGCCACCATGCCCGGCTAATTTTTTGTATTTTAGTAGAGACGAGGTTTCACCATGTTGCCCAGGGTGGTCTCGAACTCCTGAGCTCAGGCAGTCCACCTGCCTCGGCCTCCCAGAGTGCTGGGATTACAGGCGTGCACCACCGCGCCGGGCCACCTGCCATCTTGAATAGTAGATGGCAACCCTATCTAAATAGATCCGTCCCTATTATTCTTTCACAGCACTCAAGTTATTTTTTATCATAGTGCTTATTACAATATAAAATTATAAATAAGTCTCTTGTTTTTTTGTCTTACTTACTGGGATAAATTCTGCCTAGATCATTGCTGTATCTCCAGTGCCTAGCACAGTACCTGGTACCGAAGAGACATCCAATACTTGTTAAATGAAGAGGAGAATGACTTGCCGGTCAGAGGTGGCATTCTCCAGAATGAGGTCTGCCCAGTTCTCAGGCCAGGGCAGCCGCTCTAATATTTTCATCCCGTAATCCAACCTCATACTCAATCACAAAGCAAACCTTTGGCCCGGCACAGTGGCTCACGCTTGTAATCCCAGCATATTGGGAGGCCGAGGCTGAGGTTAGATGTTCAAGACCAGCCTGACCAACATGGTGAAACCCCGTCTCTACCAAAAATAAAAAAATTAGCCGGGCGTGGTGGCGCATGCCTTTAATCCCAGCTACTTGGGAGGTTGAGGCACGAGAACCTGGGAAGTGGAGGTTGCAGTGAGCCGAGATCGCACCGTTGCACTGCAACCTGGGCAACAAGAGCAGAATTCCGTCCCAAAAAACAAAGAAACAAAACAAAACAAAAAAAACAGAAAGCAAACCTTTTCATCTCCTTGGCCAAAGAATGCAACAGATGGGGTGAGAACAGAGAAAAACAAGCAAGTAAACTACAATCCGCAAAATAGGAAAGGGAAAAGGAAGTCTGGTAGAAAGGATTAAAGTTGACTGGGAACCGTGGCTCAGCCTGTAATCCCAGCACTTTGGGAGGCTGACGCAGGTGGATGACCTGAGGTCAGGAGTTTGAGACCAGCCTGAACAACCTGGTGAAACCCTGTCTCTACTAAAAATACAAAATTAGCCAGGCATGGTGGTGCACACTTGTAATCCCAGCTACTTGGGAGGCTGAGACCGGAGAATTGCTTGAACTGGGAGGCGTAAGGTGCAGTGAGCCAAGATCGCCTCATTGCACTCTAGCCTGGGCAACAAGAGCTAAACTCCTTCTCAAATAAATAAATAAATAGCCAGGCACGGTGGATCACCCCTGTAATCCCAGCACTTTGGAAGGCCAAGGCGTGCTGATCACAAGGTCAGGAGTTCAAGACCAACCTGGCCAACATGGTGAAACCTCCATCTCTACTAAAAATACAAAAATTAGCAGGGCATGGTGGTGTGTGCCTGTAATCCCAGCTATGGGGGAGGTAGGAGAACCGCTTGAAACAGGAAGGAGGAGGTCGCAGTAAGTCAAGATCAGCCACTGCACTCCAGCCTGGGCGACAGAGCAAGACTCAGTCTCAAAAAAAAAGGAAGGATTAAAGTCGTAGCAACCCTGAGGTTAAAATAGAGGTGGAAAAAATTAGGACCAGACAGGAGCAGAATTCCAGAGACCACAGCAGTTTAAGAAAGGCCTTTGGGGTCATATAGAGCTGGGTTCAAATCCCAGCTCTGCCATTTATCAGCTCTGTGAACTTCATTAACTTCACCTCTTTTTTTTTTTGAGACAGGATCTTGCTCTGTTGCCCAGGCTTCAGTGCAGTGGTGCAATCAATCACAGCTCACTGCAGTCTTGACCTCCTGAGCTCAAACAATCCTCCCACCTCAGCACCCCATCACCCCACCCCAGTTGGTACTGCACGCCCACTATTTTTTTTTTCTTTTTGAGAGATGAGGTCTTGCAAGTTGCCCAGGCTGGTGACCGCCTCCCTCAAGTGATCCTCCTGCCTGGGCCTCCTAAACTGCTGGGATTATAGGAGTGAACCAGCACTTCTGGTCTAACTTTACCTCTTAACCTCAGTGTTCTTATCTTTAAATTCCTCTCAAGATTGCCATGAGGAGAAAATGAAGTAATGTCTGAAAAGTGCCTGCTACAATGCCCTGGCACATATCACCCACCATTTGTTGAACACTTTGTATTATTAAAATAGTAACACCCCATCGGCCTCTCTAAAGAGGTAAAAGAAGCAGCCTACGGGCATAGAAATGTTCAGTAATGTGTAAAGGTGCCTAAATACCTATTCTACTAACCCCTTGTTAGCCAATTTAAGAGTTCTAATTGCTTTTTCACTGAGATTGGCTCTAACTCTCAGGTCATATCACCAGGATCCCCTGGGCCAAAGAATGACCCCTGCAAGTTTCAAGCCCTTGACAGGCCTGCTGGAATGACTGCTAATACATTTCTCAATCACTTGAATCCCCATTGGCATAATGACCACTCTCGCAGACCCAGCCTAAACCTTGTTGCCACATATATCGTTTGGAGAATACCAGTTTCCAGTTATGGGTCCCCTGTCCCTCCTTTTCTCAATCCAGCCTGCTTTGATCAAAAGTCCTGTTCTCTCCAATGTGTGGTACCCGCCTAGGGCTGGGTTTAAAATGGAGATGCATGGCCACATATTGGCAGACACTCTCACATGATGGTTGTTAACTGTAGAACCTTTGCCTAGAGACTTTCAGAGGGTACAGTTACCATGACAACCACCAGAAAGATGGCAGGCCAGAGAAATGATGCAATTAAAGGAAAAGGGAGGCTGATTTCATGATGACAATCTGACCATGACAGAGTATGCTCACTCACAGATGGGATAGCACTGTCCAAGTCATGACCAGGTGACTATTACTAGAAAGAGAAAAAAAGATGGAGGTGGAATTTACCACCAAGAGACCAGAAGATGAAGAGACTCGTTACCAAGGCAACTAGGGAGAAAGGAATGGAAAAATGGAGCTTCACCATAGCAGCAGAAAATTGCTTCTAGCCAAGCAACACAGGACTGTTGCTATAGAAACAAGGAGAACAGGGATCCTATAGACCATGGGGAGAATTATCACTGAAATGCTGAGCAGGAAAGACTCCTAAATCAGAATGGAGCCTGTGGTCCAAAACAAATGAGGAGAAGTGAAAAAAAAAAAAGTACCATTTCCATTCATCGTAATTCTATTAGTCCTACCAAAAGAGAATGAGAACATATTTTTAAAAATACCTTAGGCTATTTTATTTGTAGCTTTGTTTGTCTCCCTAGTGATCTTCTGAACTCTAAATTATACTAAAAATAGGTCCTGAAAGATATTCTGTAACTTGAAATCCTAATTGGAGACATTAAGTTCAAGGGAAAATTGGGAAATTGAAGTCTATGACCAAGAGATAATAAGTATTTCTTTTAAAAACTACATAAAACCCTCTAATGGGAAGCTTTGCAGGGTGAAAAAGAGACAAAAGAAGGCAATAGGGAGTCAGGGAAGCTAGTTGTACTCATGCCTAGGTATTGGCTCTGACTCCCCTCCCCTTTCTGTGAGGCCAGAGGGGAAGTAGCTCACTGTGTTCTGGAAGGGAGGCTCAAAAAGAAAGAGTCTCTCACTTAAAATGTATGTGTATGTCTAGAGGTGATGGATGCAGAATCCCATCTCCAACATGCTCCACGCATTACAGATTATTATGGGCAAAGAAATCTGGTTTTAAAGGCAAACGTGCCAGGATAAGTTCAGTCTGGAAGAGCATATCTAAAATGCAGAAATGAGGTACCAGGGATACTCTAATTACTTGGAGAGTAGTAATTCCTTGCCTGCCCTACAGAAAGCCCACAGTCAGTCATTTAATTCTCACCCCCACTATGTGTGAGTTATACCCCAAGGGCAGACATAGAGTTAGGATTTCTGCACCTACCTCACCTTCTTTAGGAGATTGAGAGCAATGTATAGGGTGGGATGGGCACAGAAAGATGGCAGAAAAGGAGAACGTGGGGGGTGCAAAAAGATAGGGAGGAAAATCTCAGTGATGACCCGTGAGTGTTTATTCAGTAGTATTTCCTATCCTCTGTATACTTTAAATAACTCATTCAAAATCTTTTAAGAAAGAAAGAAATATACAGGCAGAAGGCAAAAGATAAAGCCATTAGAGTAAAAGGGCCATTTAAAGCAGATCATCCAAAAGGTTCCAGATGGAATTTTAGAGGATGTGCTGACATTTAGGACACAAAAAGGAACATGTTGTGGGAGGCCTGAAGCATCTATCTCCAAGGTGAGGAAGAAAGTTGGGTCAAAGACAAACACTAGTTTTTTAAAAATTTATTTATAAAAGTTTATAATAGAGATGAGGTTTTGCCATGTTGGCCAGGCTGGTCTCGAACTCCTGGCCTCAACTAATCTGCCCACCTCAGACTCACAAAGAGCTAGGATTACAGGCGTGAGCCACGGCACCCGGCCAACATTAGCTTTTTGATACAACCTAAGATGTTTTTGTTTTTTTTTTTTTTTTTGCAGCCCAATCTTCATGCTAATTATCTACCCCCCCAAAAAATATTTCCTGTGGGAGATATTTTATGATGAATGTGGTTCCTATATTAGATTCCTAGGCCTGTCATAAATTACTACAAACTGGGTGGCTTAAAACAAGGGAAATTGGCAGGGCATGGTGGCTCACCCCTGTATTTCCAGTACTTTGAGAGGCCAAGGTGGGAGGCCA